AAACAGACAGACAGAAATTGAGATACGGCTTGTTTTGGCTTCTTTGGTGTATGAAACGGGAAGATATGCAAAATGTACACTATTATAAGCAATGTACAGACAAAACTCTTATTTTATTTATATAGATAATTTCTGCTATTTCTTGTGTGTGTTATTTTATTTGACTTGCACTCATTTGTGCTGAGGTCTTTCAGTACGAATCAATAACACTTTGTGTACAATAATAGTGTTTTAAAGCATCCGGCATACAGTTAGATTGAAAACCATTCTACTCTAGTCTGAAACAAAAAAGAAAACAAATCAGCTTACATTACAGAGTAAAATTTAAGATGACAACTCGTGTATCTCAATTTAGTATATTTCTTATTTCTGTACATCTTTGCTGGTAATAATTTAGTAAACTTTTTAAAAATAATGTTTTTGTAATTGAACTAATGAATTATGTGCTATCAACTCTAGATTGTGGATTGTTTGTTGTTGGATCCTCCATGAATGGACTAGGCAGCAATAGTAGTGACATGGACATGTGCTTAATGCTAACACATGATGAAGTAAGTACACTTGACTAGATTCTAGCTTTACATATGACTTGAAGCAAGATCTGAAGTTCATAAAATATTGTGAGAGAAAAAAATTAATTAAGAGTATAATTTCTGTTTAAATACAACATTTTTGTTTCTGGTGGCATGTAGCTTCATAACATATTACTTAAACCAATAATTAGGTGAAGGGGATATTTTTCTCCCTTGATTTTACCATTGAAAGTCTGGCGTGCTAATCATGCCAGATTTTGAAACCAAGGATCCAAGATTTGTATCCCATTTTCCACAAACATGTTCTGTGCAATTTACCATTTTTATGAATTATGTGGCTTTTTCAATTTTTCTTATGCTGTTCTTAGTGCCTGTTTCTAAAAATTGGCAGTTGTTTTTTTTGATAATTGTAAACATTTCAGAATGAAAGAAAACAATAATATTGTGAAATATAAATATGGGTAATATATTTCTTGGGAAATTCTATTCACTCAAAAATAAAAGTAATTTTTCTTTAGTTCACAATGCCAGTGAAATAAAAACTATCCATTGTGCTTTAACTAGTAATCTCTAAAACGTGTACAGTGGTAACATTTATAAATGAGATATAGTAAGGTAAATATCTGTATATAGTAAAATAATTAATGCATTATACATGCTTATTTTCAAGATATATAAGAAGTTATTGCAGAATGTTTTTCTAGTGAATGATGTCACTAGGCCTGTGAAAAAATTACTGCTATTAACCATGTGCAGGGCTCCAAGTTAAGATAGCAAACTAATTAATTGCTGAGTATTGTTGCAGTTCTTCTGGTAAAACCTAGAAGGCATTAGAAAATGATTGTTATTATGCATTTTATTCATTTATATTATGGCATACAGAGGCTAATTATTAGGAAGTGGAGAGGGGGTGAAGAGGTTGCAATTACACCTCCCCTAGCATAAGGGCTATCTCACGATTCTCTGAATTCACACGTAGTTCTCTCAATTTTTGTGTTTTTCACATAATTTTTGTGTGTTGCATTTAACTGGATGCCAAAATAAGTTTTTTATTGTTACACTTTTTTCAGTTTCATTTTCTACAAGATGTAACAATTAATTTTGATGTTAGTGCCTAGAGTTAAAGGTAGAAAACATGAGTGTGAAAAGATGTGAAAATGGATAAACATTTGATAAGGATATTGTATTGTGATTTGAGTGAAAATGGTAGATTACACATCACTGATAATGATAGGTTGTTTGATAAGAAAAAAAAAAGTGAGAGAAAGATTGAAATATACAGGAAGTATTCCTTCATACATCACTACTAATTTTTTTAGTATTGTTATTGCTGACTATGTCTGTTCTCTGCCTTGTCTTGACTACTGCTCAAGTGTTACTTTTTACAAATGTTTAATAGGTTCATTAAGAATGTTGTGTGATGTTATTGGCTATTAGGAATGAAAATTATTTGTGCATCAACTAAGACACATTCTGTGTCATAATAACAGCTGTGATGCGTATTTAGTGATAAATATGAACAGATTATTACAAAGTTTTATATATGATTGTTGGATTTCATGACTAAAAAGAAGATAAATAGCTTTTCTAGAATAGTTTTTTATTTGTTAAAGTTAATTCAAATTTATACATGTTGTGGAAGGGTGACAATATGATATCTTTGTCTGTAGATTGATCAAAAGAATGAAGCAGCACATATACTGAAGTACATCTTGAAAGAAATAAGTAAGCATAGTAAGTATAGCACATGAAACTAATAACCTGGAACAATATACATACACAGATCCTCCCAAGCAGTTGAAACTTACTAAGAAAAGCACCTTTTTAATTATCCATTTGTTTCTCTTCACTCCTCACAATATTTTGATTGTGCATTTATGACTTATAATTAATTAGAGGAAGTATTTTATCTAATTAGCTTTATCTTTATTCTGTTTTATATTGAAATATGCTATATTAAAACCACAGTCTAACATGGGCTACTTGTATATTTATGTTGATTTTATTAATGGTTAAAATTGAGAAAGATAAAAATCATCATTGAATTGAGGTTTTAATATAAGTGTACAAATTTTCACTAGGTATAAAGTGAAACTTGCATCAAGTGATAAAATTTATTATACTTCTATTTAAGTTGTAAAAATTGTTTGAGCTTCTAGTATTTTTTTTGGATGTTGTTTTCTTTATTTCTGACATAATTTCTTTTTCAGCTGTTTAATATACCAATCTATTTTACTTTTTGTTAGGTTTCGTTAAAAAACCTCAGTTTATACATGCAAAAGTGCCTATATTGAAGTTCACTGATAAAATAAGGTATGTTAACTGTTCTTTTTGTGAATGCTGATGTACCAATCAGAATTATTTTGAAGAAAAGTATAATTTTCATTTTTAAAAAGCTTGAGAAAATACAACATAGTTTGAAACAACTTGTAAGTTTGATACATCATGATTCATTAAAATTTAAGTATTGATTGATTTGCCAGTGTAAATATATTTAAAGAAATATAGATATGGAGACATAGTTACTTGTACATTGTATACATAATATTCATGTTATAATTTTAAGGTTGACCTCTCTGTCATTTTATAGATGTTCTTTTTTGTAGTTTTATTTGAAGGGTGCACATTTTCAGAAATTCAAGGACACATCCAGAATATCTAAAAATTTCTGTTTTTTATATACATACTTTGTTAGAGCAAATGAAAGCTATTAGTTTCCAATACTGTACTTACCTCTTCTCACAAGATTAGCTACCCTCTATGCAAGAACTTTTTATTTACTCGTGCCATAAGTCTTTCGCTCCCTCCCTGTTGGAATTACTATATTCCAACATGTCATATTTCATGTAAATCATCATGCATCATCTCTTAACCATTAGTAGCATCATATGGTCATGTGACACATGTGATTCCCTTTACACTCATCTACTGAACCTTTACTTTGAAGTTTGGCAGCATATGAGTTAAGATGAACTCTTTTGTGTGCCTAGTGCTTCTGATTTCTTTTATACCAGTTTATTCTTGTCACTCTGTTTCTGCACTCAGATTTTATGAACCTTTTCTTGTGCTATGAATTCTGAAGTTTATGTTACCACTTTGGGGTCACAATAGTGACCAGTGTTTTTTTTCAGGCCTCAGGTGGGGCAACCCGATGCTTTTATATGTCAGGAGATTGAGCACTACATGGGTCAACCTTTGTCCTCCTGAGTCAGCTGAACTTTTTCAGAAGGAAGAGGACTTTGATTGTCTTTTCCTGCCTCCAGAGTTTGCTTTTCCTTCCCATGTGCAGACTGAGGAATCACCTAGGCATAATTTGGTACTTAAGGATTTTGTGTCTCAGGTTTGTGATGTTTTATCCATTTCCCCTATCTCTTATTCACCTCATCTTTCCTTGTTACATGAACAAGCTTTCCAACCATTTTTGTTTTCCTCTCCCCTCAGCAGTTGTTTGGTTCATTGCTACCTATTTGGGGGGCATCAACCGAATCAAATGTTTGTCTTACTCATGCCCACTATTCTTGCCTACATCTTACCCTAACCAAATTCTTATGGTATCTTCTTCCATACATCTCTTATCGGAGGCTCTCCACAGAAATACTGAGGGGTTTTCTGCAGATATCCTTACACTTCTCTCCTCCACTGTAGCCGCATTTCGTATTCGGCTCTGGTGTTACATATGTGGTTTCTTTGTTGTTGGGACCTTATAAGTTAGGAGGCAGTTTTGGCTTGGGCTAATTTACCCTCAACATATCTCAGAGATATATGTCTTGCACCTTTTCTGAGATGTTACGTCTTTCATACAGTCTCGGAAACTATTGAGCTTCGGGTGACATCGGTCCACCAACAATCACCCTTGATGACTTTTGCAGCCCGTTTGTCTTGGTCAGAGCCTCATATGCCACCTATTCCCATTCTCCATCCTATATTCTCCCATCTTTTACTCGTTCTTTCTAATTGGGGTACTTCTTGTTCATTTCCTCGATGACATAAGCCCAGTTGCCCCCAGTAGTGGTAGGAGCTCTGCTGTCAGATCATCAATGATCAATGGGTGATACGGATTCTGTCAGAAGGATTTGTTTTCCAGTTTCTTTCCCCAACTCCTGTTCGAGAATTGCTTTTGCAGCAGGCAATCGAACCGGTTCACCATCCTTCCAGGGGTTTTTATTCCTGTCTTTTCATTGTCTCCAAGAAAACCTGGGGATTGGCAGCCCAGTCATCAATTTATTTCACCTCAACCACTTCATTGCACTCCCTAAGTTTACCATGGAGTCTTTTCTCACACCGAGATATGTGTTTTCCACAGGGTTGTTAATGACTAAAATGGATGTCTCCAATGCTTATTTCACATCCCGATAGCACATCGGTCTTGACCTTACCTTCGGTTTGTCCATCTCAGTGTGTTTTACCAATTTCACACCCTGACCTTTGGACTTACCTCATCTCCTTATGTGCTTTGTCACATAGTCTGGGCTTTTAAATGTCATCTCCATGTTCTGGGGATGCAATTTCATTATTAAATGGATGACTGGCCACTTCTGGCTCATTACGAGCAGGAATCGGCCACTCATACTCACCAACTCCTTCCTTTGGTGACTCAGGTGTGCTGGTTGATCAAATTGGAGAAGTAATTCCTTCGACCTACTCAATATCTAGTCTATTTGGGGATCTTTTTTTGACATGAATATCTGTCGTGCTTTGCCTTCTCCTTTATGTCTTTGTTCAACGGAACTTTTGGTTCACCATGCCCTCTCGGCTGAGTCACATACTGCTCGCAAGGTTCTATTGCTTTTAGGAATGTGATCCTCCATGACTGCATGGTCCCTCATGGTCATGCCCATATGAGATCCCTTCAGTGGGCACTTCATGAATGATGAAACCTTGCTCGATATCCTCTTTCCACCCCCCATTTCTCTTCGTACTATACTTTGGTGGGTGTGCCACTTCCTTCCCCCATGTCCGGATCTACATCTTTTCACAGATGCATCCTTTCTGGGAGGAGGGGGCATGGGTCAATCACCAGTAAGCTTCAAGCCATTGGTCTGCAGATGAAAACATCTTGCATATCAATGTTCTTGAACTTCTAGCAGTATGTCAGGCTTTGCATCTCTTCCTTCTTCTCGCTCTTCATTGTCTGGTGATGGTTCATTTAGGCAATTCTATGGTGCAGGCATATATCAACCACCAATGGGGCACATGGTCCAGAGATCTATGTTTTGGATGTTGGATCTGTTATACTGGGCCCATGTACATCACATTTGCATTATAGCATGTCATGTGCTGGGTGCTTTCAATCTAGTTGCGGATTGTCTTTCTTGCCCCAACCAGATATATATACGACAAATTGGTCACTTGATCCACTTGTTTTGCAGGATCTTTGCCATCAATGGGGTTCTCCCCAGTTGGATGCATTTGCCACAGGTCTCAATACCAAGTTGCCCATCTTTTGGTCACCTGTACCGCATCTACAGACTTTGGTGGTTGATGCCTTCAGCAAGGATTGGTCATACAAATATCTTTATGTGTACTCTCTCATCCAGTTGCTTCATTGGATGATTTCTCTCGTCCACTCCACTCCTTGTTGAGTCCTCCTGATTGCTCCCTATTGGCCAGGTCAACTTTGGTTTCTAAGGTTACAGCATTTGTTCCTATCACCACCTGTCCCTCCTCCATTTTCTCACTCCCTTCATTGTCAACCTCAATCTCACATTCTACATCACAATCTCCATGTCCTGCATCTTCATGCCTGGTTTTGTCTGGTCCTTGGCGAGACGATCTGGTTTCACATGTCGGGTCGCTTCCTTGTTAGCTAGTTCCATACAGCCATCTTCCATGGAAGTATACCAATGCAAGTGGAAAGTCTTCTGCTGTTGGTCTGATAAGGGGGATTCCTTCTGACAAACCTTCTGTGGCTCGTGTGGCAGAATTTTTCACTTGGCTCTTGATTTGTTTGGCCTACTCTTCCCTACCTTCTTCCTCCTGTACCTCGTTCCAGGTTTCCTCCCATCAGATCCAACATCTAACTTTTTCCCTTGCTTCTCGTCTTTGTTGTAAGATGGAGGATATTCTACAGTCTGGCACGTGGACCACTCTCAGTACATTCATCTCCCACTATATTCATCATGTTGAGCTTTCCTCTTCGTTGGGGTTTTATCTACCACCTGTGGCCATTCTTCAGACTTTGATATGAATTTAACTGGTAAGTTTAATCATTCTTATTTTTTTCAGGGGCTTTTATTTCCATTACTATCACATCGCTCTCTCTCTTTGGTGAGTGGTACCTGACCCGGTATTCTTTAACTTTATATCGACACTGTACAGCCATGCTGACTTGCGCTTTATTTTGCATGGCATCACACGTTCTCCATTGAGATGGGGTGTTCCACATGATCACTTGACGGTGAATAACCTTGCAATATTTTGCTTCAGAAACATGGCCATTCCGGACCATACCACTCATGGACTTGCAGGGGTAAAGCAGTAGGGGATTGCGGCCCATCCCTGCCATGCCTCAAGTGAATAACTCAGTATGGTCTGCTTTTCAAAATAAGGTTTTTGTGGTTACCCATTGCACTGTCTCCAGTGATGACGTTCCTCCAGACTCTCCACAGCATTGTCACCCTCCTTTGTTCAAGTGGAGCATATGAGTCCTTACCACTTTCCAGTTACAAGCAGCTGGGGTGGTTGACCATGGAGGCACCCTCCTGAATAAATTCCACAAAGAAAGGGCTAGAACCATTCAGCCGAGAGTAGGGCAGTGGTCTTCTGCTGGTGTATATTAGACGTGACCTCCAGAGGAGTTGAGCCGATACCTTGCTGGATGACGTGGCCTCCTGATAACATTTACCCAACAACCAGAGTTGAGCTGTCTCCTTCTTGGAAAACATGGCCTCCTGATACCATTTACACAATCACTGGAGTTGAGCCATCACCTTACTGGTTGATGTGGTCTCCTAATACCGATTCCACATTCATTGGAGTTGAGCCATCACCTTACTGGTTGACATAGTCTCCTGATACCAATTCTACAAACACTGGAGTTGAATCTTCACATTATGGGATGACTTGGCCTCCTGATTCCATTCACACAAACACTAGGGATAAGCCGTCAAAATTGCTGTTCCCTCTTTGATTGAGTGGTTTTGGATTAGAGTGAACCAATTACCATAAGTCCTCACACGAGTTCTGGTTGTCTATCTTCCTCTCCCAATTACTCTGCCTGTTTCGTGGGACACAGTGGTGGTACATGGGATTGTTACAGTTCTGTCCTTGACTATCCTTCATTCTCTTCTTATGGGGATGTTATTGCTTTTGGA